AAAAGAAAGGTGAAGAGAGTGGTGAGAGAGTGCAAAAGGAGAGCAGATGAAAGAGTGGGAGAGGCACTGTCAAGAAATTTTAATGAAAATAAAAAAAAAAATTTGGAGTGAGTTAAACAAGTTAAGAAAGCCTAGGGAAAGTATGGATTTGTCAGTTAAAAAACAGAGTAGGGGAGTTAGTAGATGGGGAGAGGAGGTATTAGGTAGATGGCGAGAATATTTTGAGGAACTTTTAAATGTTGAGGAAGAAAGGGAGGCGGTAATTTCATGCACTGGCCAGGGAGGTATACCATCTTTTAGGAGTCAAGAAGAGCAGAATGTAAGTGTGGGGGAGGTACGTGAGGCATTACGTAGAATGAAAGGGGGTAAAGCAGCTGGAATTGATGGGATCATGACAGAAATGTTAAAAGCAAGGGGGGATATAGTGTTGGAGTGGTTGGTACTTTTGTTTAATAAATGTATGAAAGAGGGGAAGGTACCTAGGGATTGGCAGAGAGCATGTATAGTCCCTTTATATAAAGGGAAAGGGGACAAAAGAGATTGTAAAAATTATAGAGGAATAAGTTTACTGATTATACCAGGAAAAGTATACGGTAGGGTTATAATTGAAAGAATTAGAGGTAAGACAGAATGTAGGATTGCAGATGAGCAAGAAGGCTTCAGAGTGGGTAAGGGATGTGTAGATCAAGTGTTTACATTGAAGTATATATGTGAACAGTATTTAGATAAAGGTAGGGAAGTTTTTATTGCATTTATGGATTTAGAAAAGGCATATGATAGAGTGGATAGGGGAGCAATGTGGCAGATGTTGCAAGTATATGGAATAGGTGGTAAGTTACTAAATGCTGTAAAGAGCTTTATGAGGATAGTGAGGCTCAGGTTAGGGTATGTAGAAGAGAGGGAGAATACTTCCCGGTAAAAGTAGGTCTTAGACAGGGATGTGTAATGTCACCATGGTTGTTTAATATATTTATAGATGGGGTTGTAAAAGAAGTAAATGCTAGGGTGTTCAGGAGAGGGGTGGGATTAAATTATGGGGAATCAAATTCAAAATGGGAACTGACACAGTTACTTTTTGCTGATGATACTGTGCTTATGGGATATTCTAAAGAAAAATTGCAAAGGTTAGTGGATGAGTTAGAGAATGTGTGTAAAGGTAGAAAGTTGAAAGTGAACATAGAAAAGAGTAAGGTGATGAGGGTATCAAATGATTTAGATAAAGAAAAATTGGATATCAAATTGGGGAGGAGGAGTATGGAAGAAGTGAATGTTTTCAGATACTTGGGAGTTGACGTGTCAGCGGATGGGTTTATGAAGGATGAGGTTAATCATAGAATTGATGACGGAAAAAAAGGTGAGTGGTGCGTTGAGGTATATGTGGAGTCAAAAAACGTTATCTATGGAGGCAAAGAAGGGAATGTATGAAAGTATAGTAGTACCAACACTCTTATATGGATGTGAAGCTTGGGTGGTAAACGCAGCAGTGAGGAGACGGTTGGAGGCAGTGGAGATGTCTTGTCTAAGGGAAATGTGTGGTGTAAATATTATGCAGAAAATTCGGAGTGTGGAAATTAGGAGAAGGTGTGGAGTTAATAAAAGCATTAGTCAGAGGGCAGAAGAGGGGTTGTTGAGGTGGTTTGGTCATTTAGAGAGAATGGATCAAAGTAGAATGACATGGAAAGCATATAAATCTATAGGGGAAGGAAGGAGGGGTAGGGGTCGTCCTCGAAAGGGTTGGAAAGAGGGGGTAAAGGAGGTTTTGTGGGCAAGGGGCTTGGACTTCCAGAAAGCGTGCATGAGTGTGTTAGATAGGAGTGAATGGAGATGAATGATACTTGGGACCTGACGATCTGTTGGAGTGTGAGCAGGGTAATATTTAGTGAAGGGATTCAGGGAAACCGGTTATTTTCATATAGTCGGACTTGAGTCCTGGAAATGGGAAGTACAATGCCTGCACTTTAAAGGAGGGGTTTGGGATATTGGCAGTTTGGAGGGATATGTTGTGTATCTTTATACATATATGTTTCTAAACTGTTGTATTCTGAGCACCTCTGCAAAAGCAGTGATAATGTGTGTGTGGTGAAAGTGTTGAATGATGATGAAAGTATTTTCTTTTGGGGGATTTTCTTTCTTTTTTGGGTCACCCTGCCTCGGTGGGAGACGGCCGACTTGTTGGAAGAAGAAGAAGAAGAAAAAAAAAGAAAAAAAAAAAAAAATTGTGAATATTCTTGGGTTTCTGGACTGGATTAATTGTATTTACATTATTTCTTATGGGAAATATTGCTTTGAGTTTCAAACATCTCAACTTTAGTACTAGCTCCTGGAAAGGATTAAGTTCGAAACTCGGGGCATCACTGTATTTCTTTTATCCCTATGTAGTAGGTTGATAGACAGCAACTGCCCAGGGAGGTACTACCGTCCTGCCAAGTGAGTGTAAAATGGAAGCCTGTAACTGTTTTACATGATGGTAGGATTGCTGGTGTCCTTTTTTCTGTCTCATGAACATGCAAGATTTCAGGTACATCTTGTTACTTCTACTTACACTTAGGTCACACTACACATACATGTACAAGCACATATATACACACCCCTCTGGGTTTTCTTCTATTTTCTTTCTAGTTCTTATTCTTGTTTATTTCCTTTTATCTCCATGGGGAAGTGGAACAGAATTCTTCCTCCGTAAGCCATGCGTGTTGTAAGAGGCGACTAAAATGCCAGGAGCAAGGGGCTAGTAACCTCTTCTCCTGTATATATTACTAAATGTAAAAGGAGAAACTTTCGTTTTTCCTTTTGGGCCACCCCGCCTCAGTGGGATACGGCCGGTGTGTTGAAAGAAAGAAGAAGAATATATATACACAAATAAATAACAAAAAGGCACAATACTGTGACTGGAACGATACACAAATAACCCGCACATGAAAGAGAGAAGCTTACGACGACGTTTCGGTCCGACTTGGACCATTGACAGTCACACTAACAGAGGTGGAGCAGGACGGCTATATATAGGCAGGAAGAGGAGGAGGAGGAGGAAGAGGAAGAGGAAGAGGAAGAGGAAGAGGAGGAGGAGGAGGTGGTGGTGGCGGCGGTGGCGGCGGTGGCGGCGGCGGTGGCGGCGGTGGCGGTGGTAGTGTAGTAGTAGTAGTAGTAGTAGTAGTAGTAGTAGTAGTAGTCGTAGTAGTCGTAGTCGTCGTAGTCGTCGTAGTCGTCGTAGTCGTCGTAGTCGTCGTAGTCGTCGTAGTCGTCGTATCGCGTAGTCGCGTAGTCTCTAGGCGGTAGTCGTCGTCGTCGTCGTCGTCGTCGCATCGCGGCGGCAGCGGCAGCGGCAGCAGCAGCAGCACAAGAATTGTATATAATACCGACAAGATGAAATTAAGACACATGCACAACACCCGGTCATCCCCATCGTAGACGTTTCGCCATCCAGCCAGCCACTGGATGGCGAAACGTCCACAACAAAGACAACCAGACGCCGCACATGTGTCTTAATTTCATCAGTAGTTGTAGTAGTAGAAGAAGAAGAGGTAGTAGTAGTGGTAGAAGTGGGAAATAAGGATGATGAGCCAGTCAAAAACAAAGGAAGAGGAGCACTGCAAGAGAGCTAGATGCCCACAGAGGGAGAGCAAGCGCACAGAGATGCGTGAAAGGGGAAGTGGTGAAATAAAATAAATGAAGAAGGAACAGAAACACGAGACAGGAGAGAGAAAGACAACCCAGAGGAGAAAAGGAAAAAGAAGAAGAAGAAGAAGAAGAAGAAGAAGAAGAAGAAGAAGAAGAAGAAGAAGAAGAAGAAGAAGAAGAAGAAGAAGAAGAGGAAGAAGAAGAAGAAGAAGAAGAAGAAGAAGAAGAAGAAGAAGAAGAAGAAGAAAAGAAGAAGAAGAAGAAAGAAGAAAGAAGAAGAAGAGAAGAAGAAGAAGAAGAAGAAGAAGAAGAAGAAGAAGAAGAAAAGAAGAAAGAAAAAGAAGAAAGAAGAAGAAGAAAGAAAGAAGAAGAAGAAGAAGAAGAAGAAGAAGAAGAAGAAGAAGAAGAAGAAGAAGAGCAAAAAAAAAAAAAATTGAGGATTCAGGTTAAGTCACGGGTGTTCTGAAGTTTGGAGCATTTTACAATGTAGTGGGAGAGGAAGGCATCTACAGAGACTACTACTACAACTACTGATGAAATTAAGATACATGTGCGGCGTCTGGTTGTCTTTGTTGTGGACGTTTCGCCATCCAGTGGCTGGCTGGATGGCGAAACGTCTACGATGGGGATGCCCGGGTGTTGTGCATGTGTCTTAATTTCATCTTGTCGGTATTATATACAATTCTTGTACTACTACTGCTACTACCTCCACCTCTTCCTGCCTATATATAGCCGTCCTGCTCCACCTCTGTTAGTGTGACTTTGTCAATGGTCCAAGTCAGACCGAAACGTCGTCGTAAGCTTCTCTCTTTTATGTGCGGGTTATTTGTGTATATATATACACACCCGTCTGGGTTTTCCTCTACTTACTAGTTCTTGTTCTTGTTTATTTCTGGTTATCTTCATGGGGAAGTGGGACAGAACTCTTCGTCCTTAAGCCATGCATGTCATAAGAGGCAACTAAAATGCCAGGAGCAAGGGGCTAGTAACCCCTTCTCCTGTATATATCACTAAATTTAAAAACTTTCGTTTTTCCTTTTGGGCCACCCTGCCTTGGTGGGATACAGCCGGTTTGTTGAAAGACGAAATACTAATTTTATTCTGCCCAAAATGCTTTGCAAAACAATGAGTTTTCAACAAAAAAAAAAAAAATTGTACTAAAGAGAGGAAATCACAAAGCTAATTGTATTTGTTGCTGCAAATGTTACAGAATCATGCTGCAAATAATTTATTTAATTTTATTAATACAAAATCAAGATTCTTGCTTTTGCATCACTTTGCAAGAGATAAAAATGTGAATTGCAAAAATTATTAAACTGCATTTTCAATACTAGAGTTAGTTCTTAGTTAATAAACCAGAAAATCAAAACATGAAGCCTTACCTGGAAGGCATGCGGCCGTTGGCTAGAAGAGATACGGACACAACCTACACACTGCACCACTTCCACTATCAGATGAGGTAACCTTTCTCTAGCATCATTGAACTGATATAGTACTCCAGCCCTAATAAACAAAAGAAAAACATTTAATGAACTTTCTGAAGCTTAACAGTTGGGTTAATTATACATGTATCTCCAGATTACTTAGTATGCAATTACACAAGTTGGAAGGAAGAGCAGTCTAATACCCTATGAAAAATCTATTTGTTACTGACCCTCTTACAGGCAGCTGGAAATTTTATCAACAAGAGGCAAAACCCTCATGCATTGAAACTTGTTATTTTTTCAGTATATCAAGCAAAAAGCTCAGGCCAAAGCCTAAGTAGTGATAATTATGTATCATATTATTTCACTAATGTTAAAAGTAGGATACACATTGCAAAATCTATCTTTTCTGTAAAACCTATACACTCAGCACAGTGTATATCTATCATAGTCCTTTGATCTAAATGAACAACTGCTTGGGTTGTTCTGGGGGCAAAAGGGGGCCCTACCCTGTACTGGAAGGGTGTATTTAATGAAGTGGCTATTGAGTGTAAGTAATTACATAATTTTTCCTCCAAGCAAACAAGAAGCAATCTATTTTGTTAAAAATAACTGGAAAAGATGACTACACACTAGAGGTGCCCAATACGAGTGTAATTGGTTTGTTTTGAAATGTAAGAATTAAGTAAGGCAGGAGAATGACATTGCCTGCCATAGCTAGCCCGGTGGTCTGGTGGCTAAAGCTCCCGCTTCACACACGGAGGGCCCGGGTTCGATTCCCGGCGGGTGGAAATTCCGACACGTTTCCTTACACCTATTGTCCTGTTCACCTAGCAGCAAATAGGTACCTGGGTGTTAGTCGACTGGTGTGGGTCGCATCCTGGGGGACAAGATTAAGGACCCCAATGGAAATAAGTTAGACAGTCCTCGATGACGCACTGACTTTCTTGGGTTATCCTGGGTGGCTAACCCTCCGGGGTTAAAAATCCGAACGAAATCTTATCTTATCTTATCTTATCCTTACCCCCACTACAATGCATTTCCTCACAAAGCCACAACATGCAGCATTTTTTTGTTAGAAATAAATGAAGAAGGTGGCAACACACCTAAGGTTTCAAATGCAAGTGAAAGTTTTTTCATTCCAAACTGTGCTTTATTTAGGTAGAACACCATAACACGCAATAACCAATCTGACCATTTACCATCATTAAAAATTTTTTTTTTATTTAACAATGTAGCCGTTTCCCACCATGGCAAGGAGACCCAAAAGAAAAACCCAAAAAGAAAGAAAAAATTTTCATTATCATTCAACACTTTCACCATCACTCATACATAATCACTGTCTTGCAGAGGCACCCAGATATGACAGTTTAGATAGTCACTCTAAACTGCCAATATCCCAAACCTTTCCTTTAAAGTGCAGGCATTGTACTTCCCATATCCAGGACTCAAGTCCGGCTAATCGGTTTCCCTAAATCCCTTCACAAAATATTACCCTGCTCATGCTAGAACAGCTTGTCAGGTCCCAAAAACCATTCATCTCCATTCACTCCCATCTAACACGCTCACACATGCTTGCTGGAAATCCAAGCCCCTCGCCCAACCTTTTCAAGGACAACCCCTACCCCGCCTTCCTTCCCTTACAGATTTATATATTTTCCAAGTCATTCTACTTTGTTCCATTCTCTCTAAATGAACAAACCACCTGAACAACCGCTCTTCAGCCCTCTGACTACTACTTTTAGTAACTCCACACCTCCTCCTAATTTCCACACTCCGAGTTCTCTGCATAATGTTTACACCACACATTGCCCTTAGACAGGACATCTCCACTGCCTCCAGGCACCTCTTTGCCACAGCATTTACAACCCAAGCTTCACACCCACATAAGAGTGTTGGTACCGCAATACTTTCGTACATTCCCTCGTTTGCCTACATGGATAACTTTTTTGTCTCCACAGATACCTCGACATACCACTCACCATTTTTTCCTTCATTAATTCTATGGTTAACCTCCTCCTTCATAAACTCATCCACTGACAAGTCAACTCCCAAATACTATCTGAAAACATTCACTTCTTACATATTCCCTCTTTCCATTGTGATATCCAATTTTTCTTTAAGTCGTTTGATACCCTCATCACTTTACTTTTATTTATGTTCACTTTCAACTTTCTACCTTTACACACACTCCCAAACTCGTCCACTAACCTTAGTAATCTCCCGAAAGCACAGTATCATCAGCAAAAACTAACTATGTCAACTCCCATTTTGTATTTGATTCCCCATAATTTAATCCTACCCCTCTCCCCAACACCCTAGCATTTACTTCTTACAACCCCATTTATAAATATATTAAACAACCATGGTGACATTACACATCCCTGTCTAAGACCTACTTTTACCAGGAAGTAATCTCCCTCTCTCCTACACACCCTAACCTGAGCCTCACTATCCTCATAAAAACTCTTTACAGTATTTAGTAACTTACCACCTATTCCATACACTTGCAACATCAGCCACATTGGTCCCCTATCCATTCTACCATATGCCTTTTCTAAATTCATAAATTCAATGAAAACTTCCCTACCTTTATCTAAATACTGTTCACATATATGCTTCAATGTAAACACTTGATCTACCCACTCTAAAGTCTCCTCGCTCATCTGCAATCCTGCTCTCTATCTTACCTCTAATTCTTTCAATAGTAACCCTACCGTACACTTTACCTGGTATACTCAGTAAACTTATTCTCCTATAATTTTTACAATCTCTTTTGTCCCCCTTCCCTTTATATAAAGGAGCTATACACACTCTCTGCCAATCCCTAGGTACCTTCCCCTCTTTCATACATTTATTAAACAAAAATACCAACCACTCCAACACTATATCCCCCTCCCACTGCTCTTAACATTTCTGTCATGATCCTGTCAGTTCCAGCTGCTTTACCCCTTTCATTCTATGTAATGCCTCACGCTCTTCCCCCCCACTCACATCCTGCTCTTCTTCACTCCTGAAAGATGTTATACCTCACTAGCCAGTGCATGAAATTACTGCTTCCCTTTCTTCATTTAAAAGTTTTGCAAAATATTCCCACCATCTACCCAATACCTCCCTCTCCCCATCTACTAACTCCACTAATCAGTTTTTAACTGACAAATCCATTCGTTCCCTAGGTTTTCTTAACTTATTTATCTCACTTCAAAATTTTTTCTTATTTTCATCAAAATTTCTTGACAGTACCTCTCCCACTCTGTCATCTGCTCTCCTTTTGCACTCTCTCACCACTCTCTTCACCTTTCTTTTACTCTCCATATATTCTGCCCTTACATTGCTTATGCTTTGTAAAAACCTCTCATAAGCTACTATTTCTCTTTTATCACACCCTTTACTTCATCATTCCATCAATCACTCCTCTTTCCTCTTGTGCCCACCCTCCTATAGCAACAAACTTCTGCCCCACATTCTAATACTGCATTTTTAAAACTATCCCATCCCTCTTCAACCCCCCCCACTACACATACTTGCACTCGCCCACCTTTCTGCCAATAGTTCCTTATATCTCACCCTAACTTCCTCCTCCCTTAGTTTATAAACATTTACCTCTCTTTTACTTTCTGTTGCCCTTTTTCTTTTGTCCCATCTACCTCTTGCTCTAACTGTAGCTACAACTAAATAATGATCCAAGGTTTGGTAATAAGTAATACATATTTTGCAAAAGAGGATAAATAAATATACAAGGTATGATATAGTACGTAATGAAAGTAGTTTGTCAGATTATGTATTGGTGGATAAAAGGTTTATGGGTAGGCTTCAGGATGTACACTAGACATTTATCAAAATATATTTTCCTAGAAAACAGTGACAAAAATATAAACCTACATTTGGCAAGTCTCAACATGCACAGGCAACTATCTCATAAATGTTTATAAGTGCAAGGGAAAACATTTTTCTACTGAAACTGGTTTTTGTTTTTCCATATTTCACTAATTGTTGCTTACCCTGTTGGTCTCATCCTTTAGAACCAATTCACATCATTAAGCAGGCACATAACCTGTACTGAACTATTTGCCCTAAGTAATTATTTTGCTTTAAATGAGGTATGAATTATAATTTCAGGAAAAATTAGCTTTCAATCTATTTTATTTCTACCCCTTTTTAACTGATAGCTCTCAGGAATTATCTTGCAAATGATCAGATTGATATTTCATTTACAGATTCATCACAAGAACTTTGTTACTTTTAAACAACAGTAGGTCTTTTCTTCCTTACATAAACAGTTATTCCAGCTTTCAGATGAATATCTATGGGATAAAAAGTATTTATCCCCCCAAAATTCCAATTAAAGATAAACTAGACCTACTCACTTAAGAATGAAATATGCTGGTCTCCACGGCATAAGAATTCCAGGTGGCTTAAACATTAGTGGTCCTTCGTTGGCTGGTCCTAGAGGGCCAGATATAGCATCCCCTCCTCCCAGACTGCTTCCATCTTCCCAGTCCACAACCCAGTAACCAATAACTTTAGGACAATCCTGAAAAAAAAAAAAATTACTGACAATGTGAGTACACCAATATTGGCAACTTGAATATAGACACATGCAAGGTAATACTGGTAACACTATTTGAAAGCTACAATGCCTGATAAATCTACTAGCACTGATAGATACAACAGAAGCCCTACCTTAAGACGAAGCTGTGCTCTTAACCACTTGCGCAATCCTGCCAATTCCCATGAAGGATGCACCACAACTCCTGGCAGGCTTCTATCCAAGAGTGCTCCATTCCATCGTGAATAACCACCCGCATATTTATAAAAAATATCTTGCTTCTGTATATTAAGTTGTACAGGGCAAATGTCATCTGTGTTTTTACTGTCTGTGATGGTGTCCCCAGAGGTCTGACTGGTATCACCAGGGTCTTGGTTCCTACCAGTAGGTAACTGTCCTTCATCTAAAGATTCCTGACTTACGTTTGATAAAGACTGTATCATGTCTGATGAAGTTGGGGTTTCATCTGATAATGACTGACTCATATCAGATGTTGCTTGACTAATATCAACTGACTCATGACTTGCATCAGTTGACACATGGCTGATATCACTTGATGCTTGACTAACATCTAATGATACTTGGCTGAAATCAGCTGACACCTGGCTCACATCAGCTGATGTTTGACTAACTTCAGTTGAAACCTGGCTTGAATCATTTGACACATCACTTACATCTGCTGATTCCTGACTGACATCAGTCGAGACCTGACTAGCGTGGCCTGAACATGGAGTTGCAACAGGTGAATCTTGACTTAAGTCAGATGCTTGACTGTTATCAACTGAATTCTTCCTGGTATCCCAAGCATTAAGTAGTGATTCTTCTAAAAGTGAATTTGAGAAGTTATCCACACATTCTTTAGTAAACTCTTGAAGATATCCTTTTCTTGTAGGATAAAAGCATTTTCTATTTGAACAAGATTCAATGGGTCTCTCCTTTTTATGAACTTTTAATTTTGTAAAATGACGACGAACTGCAATTTCTAAGCAGTTTACAAGTGTGTGTGTAATCTCAGGATCTCCGACTTCCAACTGAATACCAGTACTGGTTCCTGCAGTTACTAGATCATCTCGAACTGCTTCTTTACTGAGTACACATATCCACTGGTCATTGGCTCCAACCTGCAATAACATAGAACTTTAATTATGAGTATTTCTATAAAAAATATATATATTCTTCATTGTACAGCCTCTTATTCTATTCTAGCAAATCCTTAACTTACAGAGTTACCTGGAGTTTACCTGGAGAGAGTTCCGGGGGTCAACGCCCCCGCGGCCCGGTCAGTGACCAGGCCTCCTGGTGGATCAGAGCCTGATCAACCAGGCTGTTACTGCTGGCTGTACGTAATCCAACATACGAGCCACAGCCCGGCTTATTAACACCAAGAGGTTAATAACATGGGATAACCCAAGAAAGTCAAGTGTGGCTTAATTATACTGGGACTCTTAGGTTCTCTTCCTTAGGGTGCAACCCACAACAGATGACCAACACCAACGTAAGTTATTTATTGCTATGGTGAAGGAAGAACAATGGAAGATTTGGAAAGCAGTCTGACCGATGAGATCATTCAGCCCTCTCAGCAATAAAAAGTATATAGACATACAGAAGAACACTCAAAGTATGTAACAGTATAAAAACAGCTAACACAAAGACAACAAATAAATACAATATTATCACACCAAGTTAAAAAAATAACCCACATCAGTTAAAGGCTCTATTAAACTGCTGGGCAAACAGGGGTATCAGGTGAAAGAATTACCTACACACCTTGCATTGCCCAGGATTGAACCTAGGTCATTCTGATAATGAACAGAAGACTTTTTAATTAATTTATCAAGTGAGACTTATGTCTATTCCTTTTTTTTTATTATTCACACATGCCTCAATCAGTTTAAAAATATTATCTTGGATATTCCACACCATACTTCATGTTCCATAAAAAGTCCCTTCCAATCATTCTGATTAATGTGCTCATAAATACAGACACCCCCCAACTTACAAACAAGTTATTTTCCAGAAGGCTGTTCATATCCTGAATTTTTCGTAAGTCGTTATTTTGCCATTTTTCTATTCTTACGATTATTATTATTATTGTTTTAATATTATTATCATTATTGTTCTCTCTCTGCGCCGTTATTCATTGAAAACTTAAAAACAATACTGTACAGTATCAGTAATGTAATGCATATTTTAATAATACTGTAATAAAACACTTCTTACCTTTTTAATTGGTACAATAAACTTGACGTGATGGATGAGAGGAAGCTCAGAGCTTGTGTGGGGCTACCGGGGAAGAGGGTCGTCAACCTCCTACACTTCATCATCAAATGCTTCGTCAGTCAGGGTTTTGTAAGCCTGGGTTTCTTCAACATCTGAAGAGGCTTTCGAGGTAGAAGGCACGGGTCTGAAGAATTTGTCTAAGGAAGTTTGCACCATTTTCCTCTTCTCGTCGTATATAAGATGGTAGAATGAGATAGAATTATTAACACCAGTTAAAACCTTTGAGAATCTCTTGATATTGGGGTCCTGAAGCTCAAGCATATGGAGACCTCTCTCTATAAGAGAAAATGCCTAGGCCATCATTTTTGTCTCAAACTTTTTAGAAGGAACAGTTTCATCTTGTTCCTCTTGCTCTTCCTTAGGCTGCATCTCTTCCAGCTCCACCAAATCTTCATTCATCATCTCCGCTGACTTTGTTGCTGCCTGGCATGGGTTGTGGCAAAATGTCGTACTACGCAGAAGGCGCGCAACTCAGAATTTGGATTTGCAGAAGTATTGTGAATGAAACTAACTAACATGGCAGTCTGTTCGTACGCCCGAATGCTTTTAACTCGAATGTTCGCAAGTAGGGTAGCGTCTGTATTGTACTTAGTAGATGTTCAAGCCCCTGTCCCTTAACACTCTCCTTCCAACCCTTTCTTGAATGCCTACGTAACCTCCATTCACAAATCTCAGATTTATATACTACCCTCTTTATCAACCTATCTTGATACATTTTCTCTACATGACCAAGCCACTGCAACAACTCGTCTCCTGATCTTTGTATTAAACCTCTCATATTACCTGAGCTTTATCTGTGACCAATTTCAAAGGCTCTCTATCCCCACAACCCTGCCTGAGGCCAGGCCTTTTTGTTAACACCTGGTTAATGAGACTGTGCTAGTGGTCAGTGTTAAAGAAAATTCACACTTACTAGAATAGTATGAATGTCATGGTAGGAGACAGTATGACGAAGTTTAGCGCCTCGGAGTAGGGGCGTGACCACATAAAGCGCTTGTGATGACAATACAACTTGCACTCCAACACTCTTGCCACTGCTATGACCCTCACGCACATTAAACAACTGAAAGAAGTTTAAACAAGAATTACAATTTGATAGTGTCTTTAAAGTATCAGCTAAATAACAGATATACAGCACAGCACACATTACATCATTAAATATGATCTATATACAACACTTTTAACCAAACATCTATGAGGCAGTAATTAACCCCTTCATTGTCCAGATGCCCCCCTTCTGAAACTTGTCTACAAAATCCAAGAATTTAAATTTTTTTCTTTTTTTCTCATGAAATGGAAGAAAATTTTTCTCTAAAGATAATAAAACAAAAAGTACAAAAACTGATGGAAAATTGACGAAAGTACACTTTCACAAATTTTGCTGCATCAGCGATATTTACTCATCGGCAATTTTGTTCACTTTAAGTCCTATTTTAGGCAAATTACATGGTTTCAGTCAACCAAATTCTTAGTTATTTCACTAATATATCTTCCATTTTATCGACTGAGCACAAGAAATAGCAAAATCAACTAGTATTTCAACTACCCAATAAAGTGACCAGAAATTGGTAATTTGGCCAATTGCACACAAATTTTAAAATACAGTATTCCAATTTCAAAATATGGTTTAAAATAAACAATGCAGGCATTCTTGGCACTAAAGTAACATTTTCTCTGTTCAATACAGGTCTCCCTCAACATTCATATTTTCAACTTTTGCGGGTTTCACACATTCACAAATTCCCAGCCACAAAATCATATTTAAGTTTCCCGCCATCCGCACGTCCCTACTACCCTCCCTCCAACCCCCATAACAGGCAGCCAGCCCACCCGCCACTCACTCAAGTCATTCTCCAGCCAGTGATGCTGGGAGTGAAGACTTAGAATCCACAAACTAGACTCATCATGCCATGCAGTTACACTCCATATATTCATGACTGCATACTGGAATGGCCATTCGGACAGGTACTGGATGGTGACATTATTTACTTACTCTTGAATATGGCAAAGAATCGAACATTTCTGCTGCTGCTACTGCTAATAATACTAATAATAATAATAATTGGATATCGGACGGTGACATCATTTGTTTACTCTTGAACACAGCAAAGAATTGAACATTTCTCCTACTGCTAATAATAATAGTAGTACTAATAATACTTGGATACTGGACGGTGACAACATTTGTTTACTCTTGAACACAGCAAAGAATCAAACATTTCTCCTACTGCTAATAATAAAAATAGTACTAATAATAATAATAATAATACTTGGATATTAGACAGTGACATCATTTGTTTACTCTTAAACATGGCAAAGAATCAAACATTTCTGTGACTGATAATAATACAGTGGAACCTCAAAAATCGAACGTATCACATATCGAACGTTTCGAAATAGGACCATTTTTTCGGACAAACTGTGTCCATATTATCGAACGCGCCCCTATTTTTGGACCACCGGGTACGGGACCTGTCTGCCGCCTGCTCTGTCCACGTCCCCGCGCAGGCGCCGTGAGCAGTCTAGCTTTGTTTATGCTTGAGTGAACACTAATGTGCGCTCTCATTCACGCATTTTACGATTATTTCGTTGTGTTTAGTGCTTGTGGGACTGTGAAATAAGCTGCCATGGCCCAAAGAAACTTGCTAGTGGTACCCCTGTGGTAAAGTAAGTGAGAAACACCATAGATGTGAAGAAGGAAATAATACAGAAGTATGAGAGTGGTGTGAGACTTGTTGAGCTTGCCAGGATGTATGGGAAAAACAAGTCGACCATCGGTTCTATCCTGTCAAAGAAAGAACAAATCAAGGAAGATGATGTTGCGAAAGGTGTTAATATAGAGAGTGGATGAGGTGCCTTCTTCAAAGATTAAGGAGATTTGTGCCAAGTGGAATGATGTCCAAATGTTTGTGTAGAATTACCACCCTGAGCAAGCTGAAACAAGCCATCTTTGCAACAAGTTCAGTGACTGAACCATGTCCCATTTTAGGGAAATGTTAAAGAGGTGCCAGAAACAGAGGACTGTGGACAGTTATTTTGTGAGACAGGAGTCCAGTGACTCTCAAGCTGGTCCTAGTGGCATTAAAAGACAGAAGGGAAGTAACCCCAGAGAGGGCTTTACCTGAAGTCCTCATGGAGGGGGATTCTCCTTCCAAACACTAACCCCAACTCCCTCTCTCCTCCTCCCTATCTTCCAGATGCCATCACCAATCTTCAATAAAGGTAAGTAAAAATGTTATTTTATATGTACTATTTTTTTTTCAATAAAGGTAAGTAAAAATGTTATTTTATATGTACTATTACTACACATAATTAAAAACTATAGTAATTGTTGTATGTAAAACTGTAATTAATCTCTATAAAATGTATTTTTTGTGTGAATATTTTTGGGTTTCTGGAACGGATTAATTGTACAGTGGACCCCCGGTTTACGATATTATTTCATTCCAGAAGTATGTTCAGGTGCCAGTACTGACTGAATTTGTTCCCATAAGGAATATTGTGAAATAGATTAGTCCATTTCAGACCCCCAAACATACACATACAAACGCACTTATATAAATACACTTGCATAATTGGTCGCATTGGGAGCTGATCGTAAACTGGGGGTCCACTGTATTTTCATTATTTCTTACGGGAAATATTGCTTTGAATTTCAGACTTTTTGAATTTAGAACTAGCTCCTGGAATGGATTATGTTCGATTTTTGAGTTTCCACTGTAATAATAATAATAATAATAGTAATAATAATACAATAAAATTGACGAAGGAAATTGTACAAAAATATGAGGGTTGAAGCAGTGGTGGAGGAAGTGGTTGAGGCAGTGTGGCTTTGTTTATGCTGGAGTGAGGATTAGCCTCTGCATTCTTCCAAACATTTCAATGTGTTTGGTGCTTGTAGATTGAGAGTGCGACTGTTACATAATTAACCATGGGCCCAAAGAATCGTGCTAGTGCTAGCCCTTTGGTAAAGAAATTGAGAAACATGATGGAATTGAAAAAGAAATTGTACAAAAATACGAGGCAGTGGTGGAGGCAGTATAATATTTTACGATGTTTTCATGTACGTATTTTATGATTATTCATAAGAACATAAGAAAGGAGGAACACTGCAGAAGGCCTGTTGGCCCATACTAGGCAGGTCCTTCACATATCCAATCCACTAACAGAATAAACGCTACCCAAGCAATAAACTTTGATAATTCTATTTACTCACGTGCAAGTCCCACTCAAATTCAACCCCTCTCACTCGTGTATTTATCCAACCTAAATTTGAAACTACCAAAGGTTTTAGCTTTGATAGGGCCTTGGGTAGCTTTAAAAAGAGATTGGACAAATACATGAGTAGGAGGAGCATGTATGTATATACATGTATGTATTTCATGATGTTTTCATGTGTTTTATGATTGTTCACGGTTCAATAGCTTAAGAAAGCAGTAGTATTTTATTATATTTCCCTACAATATACTGGGGCGCCAAACATTCACGATTTTTCAACAGTCGCGAGGCTCTCGATCCCCTAACCCTCACAAATGTTGAGGGAGACCTGTAGTTACATTCCCAGGTTTTACATGAATTCCATTTTGATTTTTTATTCCCACACAAAAAAAAAAAAATAGAAAATTTACTGCTATGCAATACTGTAATAATTGTATAAATAATATCAGCACATTTGTAAATGCATATTAGACCCACCACTTGATGTGTATTGGACATGTGACGTGATTTGTTTCCTCTTTAACATTTGGCAAAAATCAAACATTTCCACTCTCGGAGCTCAATTTCAAGCTATTTTTAGCCTTAAAACCAATCAAAATCATTGCTATTTCTGTAAGATATCTTCCATTTTATCAAATGCGACCAAGAAATCGAGAATACAACCATAAAAACCATAAAAAGATATATACCGCAAACTCGCTGTTGTATACCATAAACACGGTGGCAGTTTTTTTTTCCTCACGCACTATGTGCTGCAGGATATTTTTTATATTGTGCACACTTATCACACAGACCCATTCTCTCATATCTTGGCCTAAATTTATCACTCACAGCTTATCTGAATGAGTTGATCTCATGGCATAATACTACAGCACTAACAGTGACCTCAAAGCTGTAGTACTATGGCACAGTCAGCGAAAGGGTTAATAAAAAGAAAAGGAACATTTAATAACAACGAACTTGTAATAATTAATACATTGCATTATTTTTTAACATGTTGGTCGTTTCCCACCAAAGCAGGGTGATCCAAAAAGAAAAAAACTTTCATCATCGTTCAACACTTTCACCGTCCTTCATACATAATCAATGTTTGCAGAGGCGCTCAGATATGACAGTTTAGATGTCCCTCCAAACAACCAATATCCCAAACCTCTCCTTTAAAGTGCAGACACTGTACTTCCCACCTCCAGGACTCAAGTCCAGCTAACCAGTTTCCCTGAATCCCTTCACAAAATATTACCCTACTCACACTCCAACAGCTTGTTAGGTCCCAAAAACCATTCATCTCCATGCACTCCTATCTAACACGCTCACGCACACTTGCTGGAAGTCCAAGCCCCTTAAACTGTGCACAAGTGGGAATCATGACAGATCTGCTGTGGAAAGCTTTAAAGAATTCTTATATAGTTGTAAAGCATTCACAACTGAATACATGTATAACTATATAAAATGCAACTATAGAAGAGGAAACTACAAAAAGAAAGGCGAATAATAAAAAAAAGAAAAAGGTGTGTTTAAGTTAGGAAAATTTAGCCTGACCCTGGTAGCAAACTGCTTTTAAACTCCTTCTCCTAAGTAATTTGCTATTTTTTTTATTTTTAGCTGTACTTATGATTCTATACTATTTACAAAGGTTTTATATATAAACTAGTACATTAGATGTGTTTCAGGGTGTGTAGTCTATGAAGTATGGATAAATGCAGGGGCATATCAAACATACAGTAGTATGCACGGACGCACGCACACACACGCACGGACGCACGCGCACACACACACCCCTCGGTTATTGGCCGTTCTGCTTATCGGCCGGTTTTTCAGCTTCCAGTTATCGGCCGTTATTTTGCT